CAGTTTATCCCTTAATTTCTGACACTCAATTTCTACTACCTGTTCAGATTCTGAGGCAGTGCAGACTGCATATAGCAGAGGCCAAGCTACTGCTGCAACAGCAGCTGGTGTTCTTTTTTCAATTTTTCTACTCTAGCACACCAAAAGATCACACCAATCTGCAGCAGGCTAATAGCCTGGCAGTGGGTCCATACATACTTGCATCTGGCCAGTCTGGAATTTCACCAGTTACTCTGCTCATGCTTACTATTACCCTACGTGTAGATACCTTGGCTTTTCCTGGATCAGCTCACCAGCTGTCTTGGGACTTTCCCAGGGAATTTAAAGTTTTCCCTTGAGTAGATTCAGAGAAACCAAAAAATCTGCCAAGAGGTGTCGTTACTGGCATGAGCTTTACTTGTTGCTGTTGTTATGTGCCCTCGAGTCAGACCTGACTCATAGAGACCCTCCTTGGGTTTCCAAGGCAGTATCACTACGGAAGTAGATTCCCTAACCTTCCTTCCAAGCAGTGGCTGGTGGGTTTGAACCACCAGCCTTCTGGTTACCAGTCAGGTACCTTAGGCACTACGCTACCGGAGCTCCTGAGCTTTACTTAGAATAGGAATAAAGAGAATCGAGAGAGAGAGAGAGAGAGAGAGAGAGAGAGAGAGACAGAGAGAGAGAGAGAGAGAGAGAATTTACAAGACAGTAGATGAAAGAAAAGTAGGCACAGGCTTACAAATCTTGCAGTTCAATCCAGCAGCAGCAGGCTGGGATGGATCCAAAAATGTCCTCTAAAACTCACCCATCTTTTGGGAATATTTATACCTGAGTCTGAGAAATAAGGGACGGGATTTACGTGAGTGGGACTGGAAGGCTACATGACTGGTTTCAGCCTCAGTGGCACCTGGATGCTCAGGAAGGGGTCACAGGCAGTGCTTTTGGAACCACCTGTGTTTGCTCTGATAAAAATTGCCAGTTCAGGCACTTAAATGCCCTAAGGATGGGTCAATACCTGACAGGGTAGAGGTGAGTGATACGTGACAGGGAGTGAGAAGGGAAATGGCTTGCAGTTTCTTACAAGCATGGCTAAACAAGATGGGGTCTGAGACCATTTTTGGAGGTGTTGCAGTCACTGATCCTACATATAACTAACTCAGAAGACATCCTAAACCTACAGTTACATACCTCATTAACAGAACACAAGAAAACTATTTCCAAACAGAATCACATTTATAGGTATAAGGGTTAGGATTTTGACACATAGTTTTGGGGGACACAATTCAGTTCATAACACCAAGAAACAAAAAGAAAACTTAAAACCCTCACTAGTCTGAGACAACCACATTAATATTTTGAAGTAGGCCCTTGTAGCTCCTACTTTTGCAAATATTCTATCAATGTCAGAAAGTCTTATTTTTAACTTCCCATTATGCAGAGAGAGCAGCTCTAGTGGTGCAGTGGTTAAAGCATTGAACTGCTAACCAAAAAGTTGGTGGTTTGAATCCACCAGCTGCTCTGTGGGAGAAAGATGAGGCAGTCTGCTTCTGTAAAGATTTATAGCCTTGGAAAACTTATGGGACAGTTCTGTTCTGTTGTAGGGTCACTATAAGTTGAATCAACTTGATGGCAGTATGTTTTTTTGGTTTTTAAGGTGAGAGTAAGAAGGATGGAGAGACACAGACTCTGAAGTCAGACAGCTGAGTTCAATCCTGTCTCTATTTTGTACTAGATAGTGATGTTGGGCCCATTCCTGAACATCCATTGCTTATCTGTAAAGTAAAGGGGAAATAAATAGTAGCTACCTTACTGGCACACCAGGCAGGTAGGGAAACAGGAGCAGATAAGATGACTTGAGCCAGATAATAAGGGTGTATATTGTCTAGAGAGGATTTAAAACTATAATAAAATTTTGCAGCTGTAAACAAATATATATATATATATTGCCATCAAGTTGATTCTGACTCATAGCAAACACATGTGTTGCAGAGTATAACTGCTCCATAGGGTTTTCTGGGCTGTAATCTGAACAGAAGCAGATCTCCAAAGCTTGCTCACACAGTGCTGCTGAGTGGGCTGAAATCACCAGCCTTTAGGTTATTAGTCAAGGCAGACCATTTGTGTCACCTAAAAACACCAAACCCACTGCCACTGAATTAATTCTGACTCATAGAATGAGACCCAATAGGACAGAATAGAACTGCTCTGTAAGGTTTCCAAGGCTGTAAATCTTTACAGAAGCAGACTGCCTCATCTTTCTCCTGCAGAGTGGCTGGTGGGTTTGAACTGCTGACCTTTTGGTTAGTAGCCAGATGCTTTAACCACTGTGTAACCTAGAGAACTCAAACTATGACAAGGTATTAATTATAAGATGCATCCTGAATTTTTTAGAGATGCTAAAAGGTAAAAAGATGTGCATATTACTAAATGAAGTATGGCCCTGTTTTTTTTTTTTTTTTTCAGCAGCTTCTAGACGAATGTCATTATCCCCATTTTGTAGTGAGCAAACAGATTGCCCTTTGTGTGGAGAAGCAGTGCCAGAACAAGACCCTGTGTTTTTTTGGTTTCCAACCTTCCTTCTCATGGAGACTTTCTGACATTGGAGGCTTAGGGCTTCCAATTTTTAATTTTTCATTTATATCCAGAATTTCTTACCCTTGGTGCTATTGGCATTGTGGGTCAGATAGTTCTTTATTGTTGTGGGGCTATCCTGTGCATTGGCCTCTACCCACTAGAAGCTAGTATTAGATGACATTTGTGACCATCAAAAATTCCTTCAGATATTGTGTAATGTCCCCTTGAAGGCAAAATTGCTTTTGGTTGGGAATCACTGAGTTACATTCAAAGTTATATCCAACCTATTAATTGTAGGATTCCTGTGTGAGAAAATGGGACCGAAGGTGGCTTTCCCCACCTGGATCAATACAAAGCCCCATCTCCTGAAAATATGTGTTCCAAACCTGCATCAGATGTACTTGGAGTGTGTGCCTAAATGCAGATTACAAGGCTTGGGCCAGAGCTGCTGAGCCAGAATTTCTGGGGAGTTTTAGGTAGTCCATTGGTAAACATCTGCCCTGTAGCAGGCTCATACTGGGGCAATAGATGCTGGGGTGGGGGCACCAGGAAGGCTTCCTATAGGAGGGGGCATGTGAACCAAGTTTGGAAGGGCCAACAGAATTCCTTGGCCAGAAGAGGGAGAAGAAAGTGAGTTCCAGGTCCTGCAGGGAGAGCCTGTGGACCTTTGTCTGTGAGTGCTCTTGAACTGAGGGTACCTGCTCTTCCCAAACTTTGTCTGAAGCCTGATATTGCTACATCTTATTTTAAAAAAGAAGGATATGTTTACTTGGTAAAATAATTTAGAAATAGACTGCAAGGCAAAAAGGAAAAAAAATTAAATCACAGGATGCCTGTCCCGAAAGAGTCGGTGTTAACGTTTTCCTGTATAGTTTATATGTGGGTACAAATGGGTGTACAGATTGTTTTGTTTTTTAGTAAATGGGGTCTACTGTACATACTGTCTTTTGTCTTGCCTTTTTTCACTTAAAAAGATAATCTTACTGAGACCCTTGTTTCTTGGGAGGGAGAAACACCATAGATGTGTGTTTCAAGTTACAAGGTGACAATATATTGCTTTTGATGAGCTGTAGGTCACATGCCAGAACTTGTTAGCTTTCAGCCTGCTGGGCTTGAATGCATCATCCCAACCAGAGCTAGCATTCCTCTTCTCTCAAATCTGCTCATCCTCTTGGTTTCTCAGTTTTGGACAAATAGTCAATCTTTCTTGAAGCCCCAAGTCGTATTTGAATCCTCCTAGGCCCTCACCTCTTGGCCGTCCCCCGCTCTGCATCTAGTTGGCATCCAGACCTGTTTGTCATTCTTCAGAGCTGTCCGCTCCTCAGATGTCTGTCCTCCCTAGCCCTGGCTTTCTTTGCATGAGAGCTTTCTCCTGTTCACTCTTCTACCATCATTGTCCACCCTTCATGTATCATTCTTTGACCTTGGCATTTCATTGCTCTGCAACTTTTCATGGCTGTACAGTAAGTCTGGCCTTGAAGACATTTTATAATTTGCTCTACAAGGGTCTTTGCTACTTCCACTTCCACCTTCACACACCCGTCTACCTCCTGATGCCTCATTATAGGGCCTGCCCTCAGGAAGCTGGCCATACCTGGGGGTAATTTATGGGAGTGGGAGGTTAGCCTCATCTCTTTCTCCAAACATTTTATCTAACCTTCTAGCCTGAATACAGTTTCACCACTTTCTTATAGCTTCTGTTACCTCTATTCATTCATTCACCCTCTGTTCATTCATTATTCCACATAGGTTTGATTGCTGGCATGTACATGGAAGCCCCCATTTTGATACAAGTAAAAGCCATAGAAGGATGTACTCCCTAGTTGGAGACAGGAGCTCTGGGTATAGCCCTGGCGTTTCTCTGGACCAGCTCTCTGACCACAGGAAATTTACTGAAGTGCCAAATTCCTCATCTGTAAAATGGGGGAATTGACAATGCTTTCCTGAAAGTGTGATAATTAAAGGGAGCAGTACATATCAAGTGCTTACTGGCCTTATTTGGAGGAAACCATTGCTGATTGGGATCTATGCTTCTCCCAAATATCTGTGTGGTTATTCTTTTGAATTTCCTAGTATTTGGAGGCAGCCCTTTAGGCAACACCACCAGATGAGTTAGGATCTTACCCATCTTGTCCAATGCTTTATCTCCAGCTTGAGGGTAGTGATTGTCACAAACTCGTTGCTGCTGTGGAGTTGATTCAGACTCACAGTGATTGTATAGGACAGAGTAGAATAGTCCCATAGGGTTGCCAAGGTAGTAATCTTTACAGAAACAGAAAGATGCCACATCTTTCTTCTGTGGAGTGGCTGGTGGTTTCAGTTAGCAGCCAAGTGCTTAACCATAGTGCCACTACAGTTCCTTGACTGTCATATAGTAGGTATGCAATAAGTGTTTCTGATTGATTGATCAATTGATTGCGTCAATGATCCTTTCTTTTCCTTTCTAGAGGAAGTTAGACATTTAGTTACGAATCAGAGAAGAATGTCTGAAAAGGGCATTTCTAAAACTAGCATTATCAAAGAGGAGTGGAGCCAGGAGCATCTACCAGGAAAACAAGAAAAAGAAAAACACTTCAAGTCTTTTCAGGGTAAGTGGAGACAACATTTGAGGATAAATTCAGACCATGGCAGGAAGAGCTATTGGTGCCCCTAGTATGTATATGCACTGCTGTCCCTCCCATGTGTGAGCTACTCTGCTGTTTACCCTGTGAGGCAAGCACTGCTTTCCTTGTATGTACTTTTTGTAGTTAATATCCTTTTTCTTTAACTTATGTTTGTTTTATAATTCCCCCCCCCCAAAAAAAACTTTTCTAACTGTAGAAGTTACATGTTTCTTTAGAAAATTCAGTTTAAAAAAGCATATAAAATAAGGGAAAAGAATCCATAATTCCACCACCAAAAGCAAATCATTGTAGCACTTTGGTTATCATATTTTGGTAAATATTGTTTTTCTTCACATAGGTGAGGCTATCCTGGATACATATTTTGCATTCTGAGATTTTTATTAACATATTGTCAAGTGCACTTTCCAGTGTCCTCAGAGACTCCATAAACTTTTATTTTTAGTGACTGTATAATATTTCAACTGCTAATAGTACTTAATTTTCTTAACCATTTTCTGTAGTTGGGAAGTTAGGACTTTGGGAGTGTTCGCAGTCCTCTCTAGCATAAACAGTGCTGAAGTGGATAATTTAACAGGTATAGACTCTTCTTTTTTTGTTCTCTGTGAGGTGTTTTATAAGAATTGGAGACCTCATCTTGATTCCATTCATCTCAACCATCAGAACTGTATGTTCATTCATTCACTCATTTATTATTAACAAACCATTTTACTGAGCTTACCATGTGCCAGGCCTCCAACCTGGAGATTGATGTTACAGGAATGTGTAAGCTGCCTTCATTTTTCAGAGAACTAGTATGGAGCAAGAAGTTTGGTGACATTTGCTAATAAATATTATCAGGTTCTTACCAAACAGAATCTGAAACTTCTAAGAACAGCAAGGAAAATGAAGTCAATCAAAATGGATGATTTTGCCACAGTTGGTAAGCATAGACTCTTGTTATTTTGGGGAGTGGGAGTGGAGGCCTCTACAGATTCCCTCCAATAGTCATGTAGGATTTTTAATAACTCCATTTAAGTTGGGCTTCACATCATGTAGGTGAACAAGGAAAGGGGTTCTAATGTTCTGAGCACATGTTATACATCAGGCACTGTGCTTTCTGCACACGTTATTTTATCTCATTTAAATCTCATTATGATCTCTCTGTGAGGTAGTGTTACTATTTCCATTTTCCACACAAGGTGACTGAGTGGTTACATTCATAAAACCAGAATTCTTGGTATATACAGTATTCCAACCCACATCTTCAGACAACAGAGCCTTTCTTGCTGCAAGTGCAGTTACTCTAAGGGCCTCTGGTAACCTAAGAAAAGGTGAGTCCTTGGATGCTGTGAGGAAAAAGGGCAGAATAGAAGCCCAGTTAGTGGTTTTGGGAGAATGAAGAAAACATATTATAAAAAAGAAATCTTCATTTTTTAAATTGTTTTCATTGAATTTATGGATTAATTTTTTTTACATTGTTAAATTATATCATCCATTCAGATTCTCCTTTATGCCCTTTTGTAGAATTATTTTTTTCCTTCCTATAGATAATATGTGTAATTCTTATAAATGAATCCCTCGATATTTTATAGTTTTGGTTGCTTTTATAAAAAGATCATATTTTCTAGTTGGTTAGAACCCTGATAGTGTGTATATAGTCTATGGATCAATGGCATCAGCATCACTAGGGAGTTTGTCTGACATGCAGAATCTCAGGCCCTCACCGAGATCTACTGAACCACAGTCTGCATTTCATTTAATAAGATCCCCAGGTGACTTATAGACACAATTCCCCCACTATCCAAAAGTGGAACATTCCTATGAAAACTTTGTAAGCTGAAATTGTCTAAAGTGAAGAAGCAATTACCATTAATTAATGGGGGGGGGGAATTTTTTAGCATTTCAAGACCAAAAAAAGGAAAAAAAAAACCCTATTAGTCAGCCGCAGGGATCCAGGTGAGGAGAGAGAACCCAGGCACACCCAAAGCAGGACAGGAGAGTGGGAGAAAGGGGATTAAAATCCAGGAACCCGGACAGAGGAGCAGTCAGCCGCAGGGATACAGGTGAGGAGAGAGAACCCAGACACACCCAAAGCAGCAGGATGGGAGAGTGGGAGAAAGGGGATTAAAAGCCAGGAACCAGGACAGAGGAGCAGTCAGCCGCAGTGATCCAGGTGAGGAGAGGGAACCCAGGCACGCCCAAAGCAGCAGGGCAGGAGAGCAGGAGAAAGGGGATTTAAAGGCCCAGGAACCTGGACACAGAAGCAGTCAGCCACAGGGACCCAGGTAAGGGTGGTATGAGAGGTTTCCAACAGGGAAACAAACTTGTCTGTTGGTTTCTCCTACCGTGGTGATGTGTTGATGTGAGTTTTGAGGCTGAGCCACTGGTGTTTCAAACCCAGCGAGATGCACATGGTACACAGGTATCAGCCCAGCTTACAGACTGAGACAAAGTAGGAAGAAGGAAGAGGCCGTCCACTTCTCAAAGAATTGGCCAGGGAAAACCTTATGAATAGCAAA